CAGTTCTTCAGCAGCACTAATCTTCACAAAACCCCTATGAAAGAAGAGGTGGAACTATCCCAGTTTCCCAGTTTTGGGCACAGCGGGCTGAAGTTTGAAATATGCTGCCTCATGCTGTGCTCCCTGGGACTCCGATGTTTCAGACTGATGGAAGCAGTTCCTATTCCGACACTCCTTCCACTGGCTTTGGTCACAGAGGTGCCTCAGCAGAGGGAAGGTGGCAGAGAAAAGAGCAATTCCTGCCTAGCCCAGCTCCCGAGGGCTAGATTCTGCAACTAATCTTTATAAAAATCTTTGTAATCTTATTTTAGTATGTGAGCTTGCACATGAGCTTGTTTGAAGCAAATTATTTAAAAACTAAATGCCTTCATACACATGAAATTCAGCGGTTGACTTGGATCATAGAGGTCCTCTTCAGGGACATCTTGGCACTTAAGCAAAGGCTCAGGCCAGTGGCAGTGGGCTGTGCTTCTCTGAACGGACCAGCACTGTGGCAGAGCAGAAGCATGGTTTAATTGTAGCCCTGACAGTATGTTTAACAGGCATTTAGTGGAAGAATGATAAAATGTGATGTTACTGAATTGCACCCCCCAGCTGTGCTGCCTGTTCCCCTTCAGTTATTTCCAGGCCTGGTTCTCCCCCACCCCAGTGCCCGCTTCCCTACCCCTTCTCTGCGCCTGTGCCGCCCCAGTTGCTACCTCTCATGCTTTTTGGCTTTTTATAGACTCTGCTGTTAGACGTAATCTCTCTAGGGATCTCTTCAAGCTTCAAAAACCCAGTTGCTGCTTGTAGTTCCTTATCTGCACACTCATTCCATGACAGTCTACCCCATCACCCCGCGGCTTTCCCCATAACCCATCCCTGTTCACTCCTGCCTCTCGATGTACTCTCAGTCATTGCCCAAAAGGCTGGAAAGTTCATTAAAATTTTTTTCAGAGGGATTAATACTCTCTTTCTCTTTTTTTTTTTTAACCTGCACTTCTCAGAATGACCCAAAATTATTTGGGTTGGGGTTTCACTAATAAGGGTTTTTCACTAATAAGGGTTTTCACAAAAAATACAGTAGGCTGAGGCCCCTGACTTAGAAAATATCAGCCTAAGCAGTTAAAAGTTTTGTGATATTACAGGCACTCTGAAGAACTGTTTTATAATGGAAATATTTGACAACCATTCCTAATGGATGGCGCTGGCCTGCGGTCAGGTGCGTCTTGCTTCGCAGCCCAGCAGAAAGTGTTTGCCGTGGTGAACGTTTGTCACCGTAATTCCTCTACAAATTACCTGGAGTCAGGATTTTCTAAAGCGTTTAAGAGAACAGGAGACATTCAGCCATCACTGAATTTTGAATCAAAATGGGATTTCAACTTCACTGCTTGAAAATCCAGGTCTTAAGATTGCAGATGGGTACTTTCTCTGAGCGATCTTTCTATCTAGCCAGTGCATAAATATATGTGGTTGTATTTTGAGGTGAAAATGATTTATATTACAGTCATACTTGAGTTCTTCATAATCTTTTCACTGCGCTTGCTGGTGCTTCATACCAAACAAACATTTAATGCAGAAGACAACCCTCTAGCCTTTTATATAAATATAAGCCTAAAATTTTTTATAAATATATATATTTATAGTGAGAGCTAGTTGCGATGACTGTCACAGTGATGCAACAATGCCTACAGAGAAAGAGAGAGACAGGTTAACCAGAGACTAACTTTTATTGTGCATTTTTATGCAACAGAACAAATGGAACTGGAGGTATGTAGTAATAAAACCAATATTCAAATTAGAATTAACACCTGAAATAGTAAACTGTAGGTAACAAATGTCTTTATAATTAAAAAATATTGATTGTTTAAAAAGTTCTCTAGGGTTTTATATTCTTTAAAAGAAATGTGTGTTGCCACATAGAAAACAATTCACACATCCTATACAAATTGTCACAAAAACCTTACTAGTCTATATTACAATATGCACTTTTTTTGTACAATATCTGCTAAAGGTCTATCCCTAACCTGTACTTACTCTACACAGTACAATCATCATTAGAAAGTATTCATAGAATTAACTACACCATAACAATAAAAATATCAGGATTAATGGTTTTTTAATCACAGTTTCTGCACAAATATTTGTCATAGAAAATATAGCGAAGGCATGTTGGCACAGATGGGAGTGCGGTACTGCTACACAAAGTTTGAGAGAAGGCAGATACATAAATGACAGTAAGATTAAAGAGTATGGAAGGATAAGACAAGAGTCTGTCCTCCTGGGACTTTCTGGAGTGACATGATAGATAGCAGTTCCTTCTGTCGCAAGCCTGCTGTCTACATCCAGCGTTGGGAAGGGATGTGCTGACTTACAAAAGCACACTGCTTAAATATGGATATCTTGCTCTGCAAGGGCTTATGTGCTATCTATTATTTCAGGTCCCGTAGCCTTATACCTACCATCTTGCGGATATATAGACATTTCAGTGTATATGGATTCATAATGCCTCATGAGCAAATTAATCAAAATAAGCAGTTGTGAAAGGTTTGGGTTTTTTTCAACAAAATGGGTGGTTTAAGAGTTAAGCGGCCATGATGGCAATTAAAAACAGACAACTGAGAAAAGTCGTTGTACTCTGTTATTTTAAAACCAAACATGAACAAAAAAAAGATGAGCTGGTGTCTGCTAATGCCCGTCTGTGACTATGATTCATGTCACTGGCCCGTGCACACAAGCAACTGAGGGCAAAATTTTGTTTGGACCAAGAAAGGTCCAAACCTGCAAAGCCACTTCTAGTGCCAAAGTGACTTTCAGGATGAAACTATACATTTGGTTATTTTGCACAATATGAGAGCAGATGATTGTGAGTGGTTCCAGGAGGTTTTCTACATTTTTCACACTAAAAATAAAGCTAGGCTTACTAGTTATTTCAGTAAATCTTTATGTTATTGAGAGAGGTTTGTCCAGTCCAGTAATTCTGTTCTGTGACTGTTGAAAATGAAGCATTCGTATTTTTAACCTCATACGATTAAACATTTTAAAGGAAACCACCACAATGTTTACAAAAGTACAGCGTGATACATATTGCCGTGGACAAATTTACAGTATAATGTTGACTCACACATTCTGACATGTTTTACCAAGTAGTTCTGGCAAGTGTCACCACATTAAACATACACCAGCAAGACTTACACCATCTGAGCAATGTAACATCTTCTATCATAGTGTTTTTAAAAAAGTGTAAGTTTAACACTGAAAAGCTACTATAGGATATCTGTACTGTGACATTTCTATACACGGAGTTTCTCCTCTAGAGGCCACCGTGGACCATTGACCCGTCAAGGAAGGGTCCTGCCTGTACTGACAAATGCTACCCCAAACCCCCTGGCCTGGTGAGGTCCAGTGTGACTCAACTGCTCATTCACTTTAAATTAGTTATTCTGGGTTGAGTGAGTGCCTTTCAACCCCCTTTTAAAATCACCAAAACCAAAATGAATTGAGAGGTATTGGACATTTAAGGGCCTAAAGCACATCCTGGCTGAGCGAGGTCCTGTCTACTGCAGTGTGTGGTGGAGCGCACGTCCTGAGATGCCCCGTGGGCTGGCCACAAGAGACCAGTCACAACTGCAGGCAAAGAGGAGACAAAGGGTAGGAAGAAACTACCGTGCGGGTGAGGTGACCTTCGAGAGACTGTCTGTCTCTGTCTGCCATCTGCGGTCAGGCCGGAGCTAGAGGAGCGCTTCACCCCAGAGGGCCCTTCCTGAGCTTTGAGGAAGGGGCTGGGTGTCTCCTGCCCTGCCTGGCGCACAGGGAGAAGGTCAGGAAGGAGAGGAGAAGGGTAAAAGGAGCAATTAGTAGCTTCTCTTGTGGTTTGTACAAGGCGGTTAGGAAAGCTGGGGAGTATGAGATATGTGTTCAGGAGAGTCAACGCTGATGAGGTAGCACTAAGGATGGTCAAAAGCAAAGTGAACTTTCTTTCCAAATCCCAGTTCCCTATTAGGGGAGAATGTCACCTCAAGGAGAGCTGGTTCAGGCTGTGAAGGATGCCACCACTGGCCTGAGTGACTGGACATGGGTAAGGACATGGAAACACCCTGACATGGAAAGGAAAAGGTATTGTCTCTTTGGCATTGCATATTTCTGGAGTGCATCAATTTGGAGGGACAACGGACTCCTAAGCCTTTAAGATTAAAAGTTTTCAGTGGACTGATTTTTTGTTTGTTTTTTTAAAGTTGCTATCTGCTTCCAATGTTGTATGCTGTTGTGAATTCTGCTCTTGCACCGCGATTTTCTTACAGGTCTTAGTTAGTCTGGACCCCATGTTTACCTACAACAGAAGGTTAAACTAGGATCTTCTTACCCAGCCCCTCTCTGAATGCACCACTGAGCGCCTGACTGTTAAGACCAGCACATTGCCTCATCTATTTCAAGGAATGGATATAAAACACAAGTGAAAGCAAAACCAAGAGAAGTCAATTTAAAGCCTCTAAAGCTACATAATATGGCTGCAGAATAGGAACAGACAAAGCAAAACCTGTCTTCTGAAATGGCAATTTGTTTTTAGCAATCTTGTTTTAATGAAAACTGTCATGATCAACTCAAATCCCCTAGAAATCTAGATAAAAATAGTGTCTATCTGATATAGAAAGCAATTTTTATCTATTAGAACTGCCTGTTATTGTTCTGGGTTTTTGAAGGATTCCGCTGTTGACGAGCACTGCTGTTGTACCTGGGAAGCTTAATTTCCTGGCAGAGCTGGCAATTCAGGAATTCAGGAAGTCCCTGAATTTTCCATCTTGTGCAGTATTTTAAGGTAGTATTTATAATTATATTATTTTCTGTTGAGAAATGGGAGATCACTTCTTTTTTTTTTGTTACAAGCATGCAGACTTGTTTTTACATCTCCCACTTGGGGAAAGCAACTAGTACCCAGCTGTACTGGGCTTGTTATCAAGCAGATGAGATGGTAGCTGCTGTCTATTCCTTTTGACATTTCTATAGTTTTTAAATGACCTTTCCTCTAGAACTAGATTAAATGAACTGCAATTTTCCTTTGAGGGTGCTATGAAGGATTTGCAAATAATAGGCACTGAGAAGTCCCATAGAGCAGGTCTTGAAATGGATTTCTTTCTGTTAACTGGGACATAATAGGATGGAGAGGCTGAAATGTATGCAGTTATGTGTTCAAACATGCTTTGGACTCTTAAATGGGTAAGTATGTTTAACAAATCGTCTCTCCTAAATTAAGTGGTTGCTACTGTTGTATGAGGTTCTTCTCACTGCTGTCAATCGCCAGATCCATCTTGTGTACCTCTATTGAAGACTTCATCCTGTGATCCTGGATGGTCACTACCTTCGTAATATGAGTTCCCATTGTGAAGGAAAGTCCCCACTGCACGTCCTTGACGAGCGTGTCCTACTGCATCGCTGAATACCTTGTTTATTTGCTCTTCAGATGGCATCCACCAGTCCGGGTTGGAAGTACAATGCATCCTAATGAACTCTGCAGGAAAACATGCAAGGATAAAAAACAGCTTGTCTTTGCAGCATCTGTTACTGCCCAGGCATCAAAAGCTTATGGGAAATAAGAAAGGGGGCATTACTGCTCTACTTAAGCAGAAGTAAAGCCTTATGGGGGATGCCATGATAATGCCACTGAGACTTATTCTACTTCTGTACAAGTCTGTTTCTCCCGTGCAGTGTATGTTGTCATACCTGAGCTAATTATGTGATGCATGGGACCTGGAGATAAAATCCCTTCTTGTGGAAATAAAAAGAGCTAATTCAAAGTGATGGCTGTGATTCAGTGTGTGCAATACATGTGAAAGTTAACATAAACCAGGATGTATTTAATTTGAAACCTGTTGTGTATTTATACCTTACAGTGATTACTCTCGTGATCTTTATGCTCTCCCTCTGCTGGCTGCTTCAACATCTGCAGCAGCCCACAACCTGCTTGAAAATGTCCCTACCATTATTTCAGCTTTGTTTTCCTTTCTGTTTGGAATATCTTTCATTGTAAGTCCTGCTCTTTCCATCTTCCTGAATCTGACACCTATTTTTCAGAGACTAAATTGGCCTTAGAAATAGCTAAATGAGATGAGAAGGCTAATTTGGGGAGCCTTGCAATAGATTTCAATGCAGGAGAAAATGACTTGTATTGTATATAATCTGGCTATTCAAGTAGCTGCTGCTTCCACATACAGCTATTTGTATGCAATGATTACATTTTTTTACAATTTCCTTTTCAGATTCTTTTACATGCAATAGGCTAAGCTTGCCAATTCTGGAGTTGTAGCTGCTAGACATAGCTCAAATAGGTGTATTTGGCCTCTGAAACATCCAAAAACGATTCTAAATGTGAGGGCACCTTATTAGATATATTGGATACACTCTGCCTCATATGGAAACTGAGCTTCTTATTTATTCTGTAACATTAGCTATTCCCTCATGCAGTATTGTGTGTCCCAGGATATTTTTAAATTCTGTTTTCTACTGTTGACAAGCCAACAGCACGATAAGTGGTGTAAGGTAACTTCATTACCGTCGCCACATCTTGAGACCAGGTAATGCTGTTCTCTTACGTGAGTTCCTGTACCTGCTCAGTATCTCATCTGTTAGACAATTAGGACGTGATTTTTGCATAGCTCCTCCAGCAGTGTGTCTGCAAAAGTGATAGCTATCTCAGTTTTAAATTCATTTCCCTGGAAATTCACACAGACAGCAGTAATTCCTACCTAGTTACGTTTACATTGGGCTCCACAGGCTGGTGTTTTTCTCACAGAAATGGTTACCACGTAATGGAGTAATGCTATAATTTAAGCATGCCAGGCTGTTTTAAAGCTGGCTTCAGACATCAGTCAGTTGTAGGAATATATTAAATATGTTTATAGATGTTTAAACTACTCTTAGTGCAGACAGAGAAGCAGTTTGTACTCACTGCTGTGGTGGGAAGGCATAATTGGATGTGCTGAGAATTAGTCAGACACTTGTTACCTTGGCTTGCAAAAGGGCAGGAACCAGTGGCCAACTCCTGACACCAGAGAAAGTTGTCATGTTCCCACCCACCCACAAAAGCCCAAAGGGAAAGCTGTCTACTCTGCTTTTTTTAACTGGTCCTGAGATACTGAATGTTTTGGCTTCCTCTTCAAGCTTCTGAAAATTAAGGAAATTGGCCTTTTTCTTTCTCCCAAGGAGTGCTCCACATGTTCTGTATGTCCAGGACCCCAGAAAGGAGAGTGGCCACAAGCAAAAGTCCATCTACAGGGTGATTTACTGTTAGTCTTGGTGGGAGGCAGGGGGAAGAAAGGAGAAGAACAGTGTATTAACACTCTGCTTGTGCTTAAATTATTAGGTGAAATTTAAAGTAATTTAGTAAATAGTTAATGCACTTGTATTCAGCCTTCAGTTTCCAGGAGAACTTCTGAGACCCTGAATCTCGCTCCAGACCTCTGTGCAGCATGGTGTGCAACAGACTTGCCCTTCTATTAAGCTCTGGGAGAGTATAAGGTCTGGCAGAGTATCATATAACAGGTTAACAGGTTCCTGTGTAGTAAAAAGCCTCTTTGCCTAATTTGTCTGTATGTAAAATCTGAGTTCGTTACCTGGCTACATCAATGTACCCCAACTACAAGTCTTATCTACTTGGCCTTGTTGGATTCTTTTACCCTAGATGGGAAGAGGCTTTCTCTGATGTAGATAACCACTTTGGACTCAAGTTGGATGACTAAAGAGATCTCATCACTGACTGACCAAAATATAGCTTTTCACACTGCACTGATTAGTAAAGCATTCTTGAAGTCAGTTTAACCAAAATTTTGTGTATGTGCTCACAAAATACTATAAAGTTAATTATGAGTTAAAGAAATGAGAAGCATATATGTTTATAAAATGCAGATGCTGATACTACAAACATGTTTTTAATTGGGCTTTACAAAGTCCTGTTTTGTATGTTTTGTTGCAAAGCCCAGTACCAGGCCTTTCAAACAATTTTAGGAAACCAAAGTATGAACTGCCACAACAGATAATTCTTCTCAGTCTTCTCTGTATTGTCCAACATCCTCACTCTCTGACATTGTGAAACGCTTGCAAAACTGCCCCTCCTTTATAGGCTAAACATGGGGGGAAGTTGGTCCTTAACTTTTTCAGTCAGTGTTGCATCAGCACTCCAAGAAAGAAGTTAAACTCTTGACGACGCATTTGTATACACTTTGTATGTAATTAACCTGTAGCTGTTCCTGGCCCTACAAAATGTTCAAACCTATTCTGAAACTTGGTTAGCTTTTAACTCCAGTGATGTACTGTGGTCTTGAGTGCCATATGCTCACTACACATTAGCCTATAAATATTCCTTTGGTTAATTTTGCTGTGTAGCAGTGTTAAAGAATGCCCAGTTAGTTTATCATAAAAGAGCATAAGCAAGACTGCCTGATTTTCCTTCCTTGCTGTTTCAAGTATATCAGTGTCACGTGCCCTTGTATTTGTCTCCTCTCTTAAACAAGCAGCCCCGTTTTTTCCATTTAAAAAATACACATATATAATACATACATATATATAAAAATATGCATGTATTTAAAAAAAAGCAGAGTGTTTCTGGCTGCTTGTCACCTGCCTGTGAAACCCCTTCTAGTTCTGCAACTGTCAGCCAAATGCTTCTACTGAGCCAGAGCCAATGTGGTGAAATGAGATCACATATGGTGGACACTGAGCGAAAAGATGCAGTACCTCTGAGACATGTTACTTTTACTGGATCCAGAGGACGTCTTTCAGGACCTGTCTCTCCTGACTGCACTGACCTTTTCCTTTTTCCAAGGCCGCATGAGTACTTAAGCTCATCGGTTGTGAAAACAAATCTGATGAGATAGCGAAGGAGCCGTCGTCCATCTTTCTTGGAAGAATTTACAGCCTCATCCCACTGTTTACTAGTGATGTAGACAGGGTAGTTGTTCAGCAGCTGCTTGCTCCCCTGAAAAAGTGAAATATTTCTGTTGCTTATTTTACAAGGCAAATAAGTAAAGATGTCAGTTGCAATAAAAAATACGCTTTTTAACTAGCTGCGATACTGACAGCGAAACACATCCTGAAGTGAACACGTTATTGCTCTTACTGAGAATGAGTACTTTTAAAATTACATTTCCATTTTCTAGAACTCGAACTTGGTGAGGTACAAGGAATATGTTTTGAGAGATGGCTATTGATAATTTCCACTTTTAACAAGGAGGTTAAAGAGAGTTAAGAACCAATGACTGGGTATACTATTCAAGTATAACCTTTCTTCTTAATCTGTTAAAATGCATAAAAAGGATCTTTGAAAAGCATGATCACATGGATCACTTCATCGCAGCTGACAATTTACTTCAGAGGTGACTCCTCTGGTCTGTCTTTTAAATAGATGTATTACTTCTGTAGAACACACCTGAAACTTGACAGCAGTTATGTTACTGTGAAAAATATAGATAAATAAAGGAACTATGAAAACAAAAAACTTCATTATTATTGATGAATGCCACAGTAACTCAAATTATAGCTTTACAGAAATGCCACCAAGTCAGCTGGAGAGAAATTTGCTTTTAACCTTCATAATTCGTGTGCTTCAATATTACAACATTAAATGAATGCTATGGGACTACTTACAGTGATTCCTGTAATCCACACCAATTTACAAGCCCTCTTTAGTAACTGTACCTAAATTGTATTTAATTCTTGTTGGCCATAAAATGCTGTAGTTCAGAATTACCCAGTTAACATCAGATGGTACTGTTAATACACTTGAAATAACCAAAGTACACAAAACACCAAACCACACCCTCCTAGAGACTCATTCACTTTTACAGCTACACCTCCTTATTAAAACACATAAATCCAGAGTCCCAATTAGTAAAAGCTTTGTATAGCCCCCAGGTTAGACAGGAGCTCACAGTGAACTTGAGAAACAGGGGCCTGACATTCAAGAGAGGCCATCACCCGCATGCTGCACTTGTGGGCAACTGTTGCGAAGTCCTCCTCAGCTCTTCCAGATCTTTGATATGTGAAAACTAATTTAAGGACTACCCTTGCCTCCTTTCATATATTTATTATAGCATCCTGGGAGACAGCTTGGGAGCATCTTTGAAGTTTTTCCTCAGGTATTTGCTTTTAATTTTTTTTACAAGTTTGATAAATAAGTGGAAGATTGAATTTAGTGAAGACCATGATGAGGGGTCCTTGGAGAATCTGTTCGTACAATTTAGGGTACCATCACCTCCCTAAAGGTGAGAGCTGAGCCTGAGTGACTGCCTGCTACTTGTTTGCCTTGGTGCAAACCTAGCTGGCTTGGTGCAAACTGCTGGCAAAGGCAGCTACAAGCAAACCCAAAACTCTGCAAAGGAAGCCAAAATATAAAGGAGGAGACAGGCTTTGCCTGTCTGATGGGCCCCTACCCCTTCCCCAAAACATCTTAACCCTTTAGCTTGTAAATCCAGGCTTGTAACCCCTAAGAGAAAGACCCTTTACCTATAGACCAACTCTTGTCTAGAATTTGCATTGCACGTGTCTCCTCCCACTAGTGCAAAAGGGCCAGGGCCAATTCCTCCCCCTCCACTCATGATGCAAGAAGGGGCTTTAATTATTTCCCAGGTACCTATGCCCCTGGGAAGCCACTAGTATGGCTAAGGATCTCTGCTGGGGAAAGAACATTTTCTCCATCCAGCCCAGCTCCTCCTCCTCTGCCAAAGCAGCAAGGGGGCCAGGGAAGGAGGGAGAGCAGGGGGGCAGCATGGAAAGCTGTTTAGGGGTATGATGCTCTTACGCTGAAGCAACTGTGACGATTCCATCTCAGAGGGAGCTGACACTAGTATTTCCTTGGCTTGTTCCATCACAAAGATAATACACAGGACCACCTGATCCACACATTGGTACAAATTTTTTTTCAGCAGCTAGCTCAGTATCCCTTTTATATAAAGCTAATTATTTTCCTGCCTTAGATTCCTGAAATTTCCCTATTGAAAAAAAAACCCAAACATAGTGAAGCAAGAACCTTTCTTACTGATACTGGTGCAAAGTCCAAGCTGAAGCTAACTCTGTAGGCACTGCCTTGCTTTTGTGCCCTGGCAGGCAGGAGCAGTGCAATGCAAGCCTGTAATGGCACACTGTAAGGCTCCAGGCTTGCTCATGTGTGTTCGGGTTGGATGCTCATGGGTGGCTTTGACAAGTAGCAAGCTATCCTAAAAGCTACCTCTGTGTTTAAATGTATTGCACTGATGGAAGCAGGGTGCAGAAAGGCCCAACATCTAAATTTCATGAGAGCTCACATTACTATTAACTGAGGAGAAGGCAATAAATTTTGCATAATTTCCTCAGTCCCAATTTTATTATACTTCTCTTTTATTCTCCCTGAAATTTAGAATATTTTTCCTCCTTCTTCTCCAAAGGCATGATGTAGTGTTATGCTGCTCTGTTAAACAGTCACTAGGTTCCTGCAACAGATACACTTTCATTACTGCCTCTGAAAGTAAAGCACTTCTGGGCAAAAGATTCTCGCTAAATATGTGATGCAGTTTGGTGTGTCCAGCAGCCATTAAACTAAAACAAACAGAAAACCTTCCAGAAATGAAATAGGCAGATCCTGAAGGAAGAACCAAAGTACAAATGTGTTCATGCTTGTATTTGTACATGATTAAGCTTATGAATAAAATATTAGTATCTATGTGTTTAATTGAATAAAAAATTCTGTCACATCATGACAAGCCATTCCACGTGGGACATTACAGAACAGCCTCAGTTTTTACAGTGCTTGAAAATTTTAGTTAAGCAAAAGAGCATTAAAAAAGGAAAATGAATCCTTGGGATATATTTGAGTGATAACAGCTAATGATATATACGAATATATATATATATATGTTTGTATCAATTTGCACAGGATAAAACTGAAGAGCAAAGTCATGTACATCCTGAACTGCTGTAAAGCATCTTCAGTGAAACTATGGTAAATTGGATTACATGAGGCTTGCACTACAAATAGTTTATGCATAAAGGGAGGTCAGACTAGACGTAAGTCTTTCCTTTTCTGATTTTGTTTGCATGAATAAGGGGTAGTGACACATATACACTACATATACGAAAACAGGCATAGCAAGAGCCTCAAATGCAGACAGTCTAAACTGGAAAATCCTCAACAAAACCACTTCATCTGATGCATTTTTACAAGCCTGGATGGAAACACACTGGAGCAAAATTAACATGACTTATACTAGAGCTGATAGCTAAATCTGTACATCTACCTTCTAGAGAAGGGGAGGACTTAAACTTCCTGCTTTTGCACTGCAGCACTTTTAAACAGATCATAATTACAAAAATCCCCAAAATCCGTATCAAGTATAAAATTGTCAACACTCAACATTTTGTTTGGGATGCTTTCCAAAAAGCAAGAGCACTCCAAAGACTTGCAGAAGTCTGTATTTGGGTCTGCCTGCAAAATGACAGAAATGTATACTTTAGTGTTTATCACCTCGGGGTTGCATTAGAGCTGCACCAACTGTATGCACCTGCGTGCTTGTGTCCATACACACGACATGTCGGTACCCTCCCAGCATGGGCTGCAGCCTCTGTGCACTGGCAGCCGCCGCGTGCAGCCACTGTCAATCACCCAGCTGCCCTTTTCACCAGGCTAGCCCTCATCTAAATTCTACCCACAAAAGTGATGTTTCTGAAGAAAGGTGAGAGAAAAATTACCCAAAGCAAGGCAAGTGCAGCTGGCGCTGATGGAAGGAGTTACACGCTGCTCAGTAAAGTCATCCCAGATTATACTAGTGATGAGTCTCCTCCATTTGGGGGATTATTGTACCTAAGAATGACCGGTTAATAATAGATTTTACATATTTTTACTACTAAACATATTCTTCCAGCACCTATTGATTTATTTGCCTACATGTTTTCAATGAATTGTCAAACATAAAGCAACGCAGCTTGTCTTCACTGTACACTACCTCAGTCGGATGGTCTGTTGGCTGTGGTACCATAAGCTGGTTGTGATGCTGAAGTACAGTCTTCAAATAATCTAAAACAGTCTGGCAGGGCACTGCATGAAACAAATTGCAATTACTGTATATTAGCTATCTAGCACAAAATAAAACAACAAAATTAAATCAAGCAGTGTTCTTCAGGATATGTTTTGTACATCTGTGAGATTTATTTCACATAGGAAACACTTCTCATTTTGATTTGTGCAGCTATTTCATTCAATAAATATACAACAGACATTGTATTTCCTATGTTGGATCTCTGACATTGCTTTTATTTTCTGCCCACTAGTTTTCAAAGGATTTTTTTCCTAGTTTGAAATTATAATTATTACAAACACAAATTAGGTCAGCAGTAATGATAATAAGAAAAAAATCTGTGAAGATTTTAAACAGCCCAAACCATACAAAGGAGAAAACATTTCTTAGACCTAAATCATGCACTGATTAACATGCAAATATGCTCAAATGTTTTTGAAACTACAGTCTGATTAACTATACTGAGCAGATTTAATGATTCATATACTTTAATTTATTTTCCCTCCCTCCTCCCAAATTTGTTATAAAACTAGGTGTTAGGCAAATTGCTTTATTTCTCTTTTTCACTTTCCATTCCCATCACTCTCATCCATTTCAGTAGTGGTACCAACATCCTATTCCCTTCTGCTGAGGTGCTAGGTTAATTAGGGATGATTCAATTATGGGTCTCACTTAAGCAGATGCTGCCACATCCCTGATTAACTCTGGAGTATTTTTGAGATACAGTGCTTTTCTCCTGAGCCTGAAACACTGTAGAAGAATTAAACAGACATTAAACCAACATTACAATTGACTTGGGCAAGACTAAATAAGCATCACTTTTAAGGTACCTTATCACTTTCACATTTCATATGGATTGTTTTTGTAAAATATTTTGAGATAATCTTAGCTTCAGATAAAAATCCAGAAAAAAAAAAATGTGTTCCTTTTTTGTTTGCTTGTTTGTTCATTATTTTTTTGGCATCCAGTCTTTACAGCTGGAAAAATGTGGTGTTTTGGGCTTTGTCTTAAGCTGGCAATCTGAAAGCAAGCACTGAAATCACTGAGAATGTCTCAAGGTAGGATTTACAGGAATTTTGCACCCTTTCCTGGGTATTCACACTGTACAGCAACTAGGTTAGGATGTTATGTGTTAGACAAAAGTTAGCATTCCAAGTGACTTATACCTCTTTTATTTCTCCAGTGACTTCACTGCTTATCGCTACACCAGGGCAGTGTCTCAGTAGCGTAGCTGCTACACAGTGACACTGCCATATGAGCAGGAGAGTCTGGATGCTTTTTTTTTGTAGGAAGAAAAAGCACATTTAAGTGTAATCGGATGGTTTCAAAAAATGTTTCAATGCTGAAAAAGTGAGAAGGGCAGTCAAGCTTAATAGTCTCACCAACACGTTCTGTGGCCTTCCTGTAATGACAGCTGTGTATTTAGCATATAGGAGCAATCAAACAAATCAACACAAGTTCTTGTGTGGAATCAAGGAGTAAAATGTACTAAACACAGGTAACGTCTTAGTACATTGGATACTCGTAAGAAAGTGTGTCAAAAAAAGGATTTGTCTTTTTCCCCCTTGTTGTTAAATACAGGAAAGCATATGGGGGAAGGATTTTTTTATTTCTCCATGTGGATGGGCTGAAGGATAAGACTGTCTTCTGAGATGCTTTTCTTACGCTCCATGTGTGTTTGCTGTCTGGCATATCCAAAACAAAGATTAAACTAGGACCGCCCATGAACAGGTTACTCTCTGATTAAGTAGGTGTCCAAGAAAGAGCCACAAGGATCATGAAGGCTCACTGCCCTGGACAGCATCAGAAACCCTCTGTCAAAGTCAGCAAAACCTCCCACCCAGGTGGAAGTTACCACGGTCACCCAGCATCTCCTGGGAGATCGTGGCATCTCCTGTGAGGAGACAATAAGGATGGAAGAGGCTATGATAGGTGCCTGACAGATGCCTGATACTTGGACTTGAAGAAGAGTGGAGTGATCCCTGGGAAATCAGAGCTACATGCAAAGTACCCTTTTCTTGACCTATCTAAATTCATCGGTTTTTGTTTAGCAAGCTCACTGAAGACACATTCGCCAAACCATCATTGGTACCTGGAAGCTTTAGACTTCTTTGGTCCCCATGAAGCTGTGCTCAAAACAATCTGTGAAGTTTACACTTGCTTTTCTGGTTATCTCTATTAGCAAAAGTCCCTGGTGACGACCTGATGGCTCTCAGCTGTACTTGGTACTGTTACCTGTAACTATGTGGGGCCTGAAAGGGAACAGAATATAATGCATCAAAACTTTATAATTTTTAGAAGCTGATCTCTCAGCAGGATGGTATTTTACTCACAGTAAGTAATTTTATCGCAGGCTATCCACGGATGTATTTACCTATGTTCTCCCAAAGGGATGGGGCACAAGAGAGAAGACAACAGGAAACTATTTAACCTGTTGTGTCCCCAGCAGATGAAGTACAGCTCTACTTTAACTGTATTCTGCTGATAAAATACTTTCTCATTACTGGTGAGAAATTACAAAGGTACTAAAAGCTGGCTGAAGCTTATAAAAACTTCTATCTTCATAAAAGCAGTGACGTTTTGAGCACAAAATTGTATGATTTTGTTATCACTCTAGTGACTGGAGGACTCACTCTGAGCACTTCTGACTTGTAAAGCCATCGTACATCACAGTTTGCTGTTGGTACAAATAACCTCAGCCCTTCAAACACCAGATGCTACTTGCAAAGCCAGGCTTCTTGGGCTGCTGTATTAACTGAAGCCTAAAGGAAGCCATGAAGAAGGCAACATGAGGCTGACAGCCAAAGCTTCGGTTTTGCTTCTGCGTGCCTCTTCTGGCTCTCCAAATATTCTCTTTGCTGAGAGGAAAGAGGAACTGTTTCCTCCAAACCCTGCAGCAAATGTAACTTTATAAGAGCCTGCAGCTCCCAACTGTGAGGATGAATAACTGTTTAAACCTACTAGCTTATTTGTTTTGTATTTCTTTGACTTTGTTGTGGTCTCTAGAGACTTAACAAGACCATAACCCCAATAGCCGATTCTCTGCACGCTTATGCACATATCCACCATCACCGACACCAGCAACAGGGATCTTTTCCCATCGGTTACAGGAGGCACAATGCTCATGTTGAAACAGCACTTGCTTGTTATGATTTGGTAGAAAGCCTGCGGGGAGGCAGTAATTTTCCTGCCCAATAGGAAGAAGTTTCCACAGCCTTTACTTTCTGAAAGCGACGATGTCTCAGAAAAGAGACTGGAAGTGGCAAAGTAACCTGGCCTGCAGCGAGAGAAAGAAGAGTGAGATCTTTGTGGGATTTAAAGGGCAAGAAGGAGGAGGTGCTACAGGCGACTCAGCGTGCTGGGGAAGGCTGGTCTTGCCAAGATGCTAAGCAGGACATGCATAAAAGGTGGCAGGTCTTTGCTGTTCATCAATCCAAGTTTTAAGACTTTGCTGTTATTCTAGGCATCTGTATATTGTAACAAGTGCTTCTTTGGCATAGCTTGTCACAGCTTTCCCTGCAGGGTATCCTGATTTCTAATAAATCGTTGAACAGTGTGGTGGCCACGAACTGTGCCAATGACAAAAGCTGGGCTGTGATCTCTCAGTCTGATCTGACACACAGCACAGCAACTCCCCAGACTAAATCCTCTTTGCACCAGACAGCATCAGCCAGTAAAACGCAGTACAACTCCAGTCATTATCTCCCAGCAACATGGCTTCTACCCTTGGCTCGTTGTTACAGCACGTCCTATATCACCCTCAGAAACATACACCGTATTTCAAGTCTGTGTTTTGTTTTCTTTCAATTGGGTTTTAAAAAATCTTTGGAAAATAAATGGAAAACACTTGTCACCTGTTACATATGCATACTTAGTGGTGAAGTCATTTCTCTGTCTTCTCTTTGCTAAGCTCAACACTGACCTTCCCGAGATGCTGGGTTCACACTAGAAGTACAGTTCCTACACTTACTGACATGTCTGTACATCCAAAGTCCACGCCAGCCCTTTTGGCCACACGGTGCCTCAATACTCCACCAGAAAGCCACCATGTCTTCCAAAAGTGTTTCTCAGTGTCTATTTCCCAGTGGCTGAAACCAAGCAAAGTGATGTTCTCTGTGCCTCAACACATGCTAATGCTGCACCATCTTCGGCCAAGTCTGTCACCTCTCATCTTTCTCACTCACTGCTACCTCTGCACCACTTGCAAGCTGTGAGCAATGATTGTATGCTTTCTTTCACCAATGAAAGTATTAAAAACACGGGCTGTGAACAGTTTCACAAAGTATCTTGCCAGAAATTCAACTCCATCATAGCAATTTACCCTAAATACAAATATATTTGCATTTTTAAAGTCACTTTTTGTAATATAATGTTATGTAACACCCTGAATATCTGCAACACCCTCAACAACCAAACTTTTAATCTCATCAAAACCATAATTTGGCAAGATGTTGCCTGGTACTAACTCCATTATTCTCTTTCAGCACTCTATTAATTGAAGCCAGCATCAGCTGTGCAATTAGTTTGGCTGGCCTCAGTATCAGGCCAACGAGCCTACAATTATCTGCACATCTGATGTGGCCTTTTAAAAAAAAATAAATCATATAGTAATCACATCTTTCAGTCTCCTGGAGCATCCCAAATATTCCAAAACATAAAGAAAATCATAGTCAGAGTCCTCTTTGGCCACCTTCATTTTTGTTTTAGATCCTGAAGTTGAGTCATCCAAATCTCATGATTTTGAAAACATCATGCTTTGGTAGCAGCTGCTTAATCCTTTTGATAATAAGTTGATGTGCATTTGGGATGAAAAGCTGGTGTGCCCAAGCAGTTACTGCTCCCGGTGGCCTGTGCTGGGGCTCTCCTGGCAGTGCCTGTCTCCGAAAGTGGGACAGCGGTTCTGACTCCGCTCCTGAACCACTTTGTCTTACAACCTGGGCTGGAGGCCAGCAATAGTGCACTGACTAACAAGCTCTCCAGCTGCCCTGACACTGGGATGGAATTGGAGCAGACAGCTGAG